CAGGGAGTAGAACCCTGGATTTTTATCTCCTAAACCGAAGGTCTATAGCAATTGAGCTAAAGGAGATCCACCACGGCCAGCAATAGCTGTAAGCCACACATCCTCTTTGTGGGCCTCTCAGTAATGGATCTCTCTCTCTCTCTCTCTCTCAATAGTTATTTCTTTAATTTAGGCCTGGTTTAAACCCAGTTTTTGTACTGTATGTTGTCTTATACCAGCATAGTGTATTCTCCGTCCTGTATGTCAACGAGCTATAGTGATATAAGCGCATTTTTACTGGTATTTGTGTGTCAATAAGGCCTTATATTTTTAAAAACTCTTTACATGTTCCACCGTCTCCCACATCCAGGCTTTCTCAGGCTTTGTCTATGGAGGGACTTGTCATGTCACCGTTTTCGGGTAGAATCCCAGCCCCGTCTCAGAGTGCAACGTATGGGCTGGATCCTCAGGTGGTGTAAATTGATAGCCCCACTGACATCAACAGAGCAATGCCGATTTCCACCAGCTGAGACTCGGGCCCTAACTCTGTTACTGTCCACAGAGAGATCAGTCATTTGTAGGGAAAGAACTATTGTGTTCACAATGTTTAATTCATTAGGAAATCCCTATCTTAGAAATCCACCCTCTGTCTATGTTTAGAGCTGCAGATTTATTGCCTGTGAGAAGCTCTGTGCCTTCAGGAGAATGAGTTATTCTGAGGGCATGATTAAAAAATATAAAAGCCAGGTTCCCTTTACCAGCTGTAATCTTCAGAGTACTTGAAAGCCAGGTCTTGCCCAGACTGTGAGGGACCCAGAATAGAACAGTTCTTAAATAATGTAAACGCTGTCATGGAAATGTAATAGATTTTAAAGGACAGGTGTTAAAGGAGCATAATGTACCTTTATTTTTTTTAACTGTTCCAAGAGAGACATGAGAATAGTTTTTGATGGATAAACATGACATAAACCTGAAACTAAGGTGACCAAAACAGTCCAGATCTAATAGCTATGGTGTGAGCCGGGTCTCATTGCATATCCCTGGATAAACCTCATGGTCCAAGCAGCTGTGCTGGTCTTGAAACTCAAATAAGGCAATGCCATCGTCTTCTTCAATGAGGCTGTCTCTCCTATGTCTGTCGCAACAAGGAATCCCAGCAGGAGCCTTTGTGTTCGAATGCATGGGCGGCATGTGAACCACCCATTCAGGGAGGCTAGCCCTTAGCCCCGCCCCTTCTGCCCGAGGCCCTTCCCCACTGGAGCCCTGAACCCTCACTGCGGCCACTGGTCCCCCCACCCCACCCCAGCCCCGGAGCACCGGACAGGCAGTCCCAGCATGCCAGACAGCCCGAGGCCCAGAGCGCTGGGCGGCTTGAGTGCTGAGCAGCCCAAGGCCCGGATCACTGAGCGGCCCGAGCGCTAGGCATCCCAAGGCCCAGATCACCAGGCGGCCCAAGTGCTGGGTGGCCCGAGCTGCAGAGCACTGGCCACAGTGGACAAGCGGGAAGCAGAAGGGGGCTTGGGGCGGAGTCTGGGCAGGACCACGCCTGGCTCTTTGAGGAGGCTCAGCCTCCCCTGGCCTGAAATACCCACCGCCCATGTTTGAATGTACGACTAATTCATTCCCTCTCCCAGGGGCTAGGACTGAGGATAACTTCCTTGTGACAAGGGAGAGAACTCAGGCCAGCTGGGGGGCTTACTAATTTAGTTCCTAAACTTCCTAAATATGAACTAAATTAGCTGGGAGAAATAATTTAATCAGAAAAATGTGAATGACGATTGGGAATCATTTAAGAACATCTTGATAGATGCCTGAAAAGCCACAGTCCCACAGTTAGCCTGTTTCCTCTTGTTTTTTCCTACCCCCCCCCCCCCAGATGTTCTGGTTTAACTTGGATTTAAACTTGGAGAGTGGTCAGTTTAGATGAGCTATTACCAGCAGGAGAGTGAGTTTGTGTGTGTATGGGGGTGGGGGGGATGTGAGAAAACCTGGATTTATGCAGGAAATAGCCCGACTTGATTATATAAAGAGTTGTCACTTTGGATGGGCTAGCACCATCAGGAGAATGAATTTGTGTGGGGGGGTGGAGGGTGAGAAAACCTGGATTTGTGCTGGAAATGGCTCACCTGATGATCACTTTAGATAAGCTATTACCAGCAGGACAGTGGGGTGGGAGGAGGTACTGTTTTATATTCTCTGTGTATATATAAAGTCTGCTGCAGTTTCCACGGTATGCATCCGATGAAGTGAGCTGTAGCTCACGAAAGCTCATGCTCAAATAAATTGGTTAGTCTCTAAGGTGCTACAAGTACTCCTTTTCTTTTTGCGAATACAGACTAACACGGCTGTTACTCTGAGTCCCACAGTTGAGGAAGAAGATCGTGCTGATTAAAAATTGACCTGGTTTAGAGGGGAAGTGAAGACGTCTATAAAAAATTAATATATATAAGAAATGGAAGAAAGGGGAAGTTGATATTAATGAATATAAATCATAAGTTAGGAATTGTAGAAAATTGGTAAGGGAAGCAAAGGGACACTAGGATAAATCTATGGCTAGCAGAATTAAGGACAATAAGGGGCTTTATAAATATATTAGGAATAAAAGGAATCCTGACAATGGTATTGGTCCATTACTAGATGGAAAGGGTAAAATTATCAATAATGATGCAGAAAATGCAGAAGTATTCAATAAATATTTCTGTTCCATATTTGGGGGAAAAAAAGATGCTATTTTCATCATATGGTGCTGATAACATTCTTTCCATTCCACTGATATCTCTGGAGGATGTTAAACAGAAGTTATTAACCTTAGCCATTTTAAATTAGCAGATCCATATAACTTGCATTGAAGAGTTTAAAAAGAGCTGGCTGAGGAACTCACTTGACTCTTAATGTTTATTTTCAATAAGTCTTGGAGCACTGGGGAATTTCCAGAAGACTGGAAGAAAGCTAATGTGCCAATTTTTAAAGAGGGTGAATGGGATGACCGAGGTAATTATAGGCCCGTCAGCCTGACATTGATCCCAGGAAAGATAATGTCAAACTAAACTTGATATATATTTCTGATGAGATAAGCTTAAGTGATAAAGGTAATAGTGTTGACATAATATACTTAAACTTTTGGAAGGTATTTGACTTGGTACAGCATGATATTTTGATTAAAAAATTAGAACAGTATAAAATATGGCACACATTAAATGGATTAAAAACTGGCAAACTGATAGGTCTCAAAATGTAATTACAAACAGGGAATCATCATCAAGTGGGTATGTTTCCAGTGGGGTCCCGCAGGCATCAGTTCTTGGCCCTACGTTATTTAACATTTATATCAATGACCTTAAAAAAACTAAAATGATCACTGATAGGGTTTGCAGATGACACAAAAATGGGGGAATGTTAAATCATGAAGAGGAGAGGTCACTGGTGCAGAGCGATGTGGATTGTTTGGTACATTGTATGCAAGCAAACAACCTGAATTTACATATAGCCATATTAAAATGCATTAGAACCCCGTTTATCTGATCCTCCATTAACTGGCTCTCCATGTCAACCAGGCAACCAACGCACACAGGTCCAGAAGGGGGTGATCTCTGCAGTGACCACTAGATGGCGCTGCAGCATTGCACTTTCCCATTCTCTGCTTTATCAGGATTGGTTTCAGAGTAACAGCCGTGTTAGTCTGTATTCGCAAAAAGAAAAGGAGTACTTGTGGCACCTTAGAGACTTATGCTCAAATAAATTGGTTAGTCTCTAAGGTGCCACAAGTACTCCTTTTCTTTTTATCAGGATTATTGATTATCTGTTCTGGCCCCTATACCAGTTAGATTGAATAAACGGGGTTCTGCTTTATATGCATCTAGGAACAAAGAATGTTGACCGTACTTACAGAGTGGGGGACTCTATCCAGGGGAGCAGTGACTTCTGAAAAAGTTTTGGGGGATAAACAGCTGAACATGAGCTCCCAGTGGGACACTGTGGCCGAAAGAGCTAATGCAATCCTGGGTTGCATAAACAGGGGAATTTCGAGTAGAAGTTAAGAGGTGATTTTACCTCTGTATTTAGCACTAGCGTGACCTCTGTTGCAATACTGTGTCCAGTTCTGGTGCCCACAAGTGAAGAAAGATGTAGATAAATTGGAGAGGGTTCAAAGAAGAGTCATGAGAATGATTAAAGGATTAGAAAACATGCCTTACAGTGGTAGACTCAAAGAGACTCAATCTATTTATCTTAAAAAAAAGAAGATTGAGTGACTTGATTACAGCTCATAAATATCTACATGGGGAATAAATATTTAATAATGGGCCTTCAATCTAGCAGAGAAAAGTATAACACAATCCAAGAGCTGGAAGTTAAAGCTAGACACTTCCAACTAGAAATAAAGCATACATTTTTGACAGTGGGAGTAATTAACCAATGGAACAGTTTACCAAGGGTGAGAGTGGGTTCTCCATCACTATTTTTAAGTCAAGTTGGGATCTTTTTTTCTAAATGATCTGCTCTAGGAATTATTTTGGGGGCAGTTCTCTGGCCTGTGTTATACAGGAGGTCAGACTAGATGATCACAATCGTCCTTTCTCACCTTGGAATCTCTGAATAAATGTCTTGTTTATACCCAGGGCTGGTTGCTCTGCTGGAGCATGTGAACGTAAGAACATTGCTAGCTCTGCGTGTAAAGGTATTAATAAGTCTGGATTATTTTCACTACGCAGGCCAAGTGCAATGAAATTACAACGGAACTGCAGCTCTGCTACAGCTTTTGGGTAATTTTCATCTGATCCTGAGAGGTGTTAAGTGCCCTTAGCTACTGTTTGAAGTCTATGGGAGTTGAGAGTGCTCAACAGCTGGGAGAAAGAACCTTAGCCTTCCTGTAGGGAGTAGATTCAGTTACCAAGACATCTTCCAATGTGGCTCAGTAGCAAGGACATCAAAGCCTACTGTTATAAGTACTGTAATTGCCTTCTGCAGCTTTTAAATGGAGTTTCCTCCATTCCCTCACCACTGACATGTTCCTTTCTTTCTAGATGACAGAAGGCAGGCACTGCCAGGTGCAGCTCCTTGATGACAGGAAGTTGGAACTGCTGGTTCAGGTAAACACCCTGTATGGGACATCAAAAGCATCACTTTGCCCAACACAGCCTGGTTTTATAGTGGCATCTATGCTTTTTAATGCAATCCACTGAATTGTATTTTACCAGCTTAAATGGACACAGTCAAACTTTTCTTAAATGTCCATGGGTAAAGTTTTCAAAATCGCCCAAGTTCTGTTTTCAGAAGCAATGGTGGACTTATGCTCCTAAATCTCATTGGCTTCTGAGTGCCTGCATCACTTTTGAAATGGGACTTAGACCCCAAAGTCAAAGAGGTGCATCTAAAAAATTTTGGCCCTAGTCTGTGTGACTAACAACCCCTCAGATTACTAACATGGAATGAATTTTAAAAATCTAAATCAGACTTCATCTTTTTGTTATTTGCTTGGACGATGACAAACAGACCCGTCTTGTGTCACTAGATTCATGTTCTAGCTCTTGGTGCTGTTACATTTAGACATTTTTCAATAAATAGCTTTTCTCACTACAATTTATAACACATTAAGTTCTTCTGAGTTTCAATTTTAAAATCTATTTGAAAATGGTCTGTGTTTTGGATTGTGTTTTGGGGTGGATGGTACCTTGTCATAAGGGGGGAAAAAAGGGTCCAGTTTTTCAGGGGTATAACAGATTCTATATTGAAAAGTCCCTCCTGCAATAAAGTCCACGAAAAGCCTGAATTCAGTCCAGTCTTTCTCCTAGACTAGCCACTCCTTTCCTCTACCTCTTTTTATACATTTCAACTGGTTTGCGGAGGCTAACAAACTTAGTTGCCTCTGCTCCCCAACCATGTAGTCATTTATGTCTGGTTCTAAATTTCTGCAGTTCTGAAAGGTAAACCGGGGTTTGGGGTCTTGACTGTACTTGGGAAGTCAACACCCAAGAGCACGAGGCTTCATGGCACCTAGCTGGGTAGTAGACTGCATCATGGTTCTTTAAACTATGTGGCAATGTCCCTTTAAGGTAACATACCCAGAGAAGACTAATTTAAAAATAAAATGGCTGAGCTGAATGTAATGATGTGCTGATGATTCTCTCAATAGCCCAAACTTTTGTCTCGGGAGTTACTGGATCTGGTGGCATCACATTTCAACCTCAAAGAAAAGGAGTATTTTGGAATAACATTTATAGATGATACGTAAGTATCTGTATTTCTTTTTTTAAACAATTGGTGAAATGATTGTTGCAAACCAATGTCTCAGTCCATCCCACAAAGCACAGAAATTGGACTCCAGGCCAAGCCACAATGATCTAAAGATGACTCCTGTTTTCAAAGATGGTTTTCCTTCCCCTTAGAATGGTCCTCAGCTGAGTCAGGATGACACACCATGACAAAACAGAAGGGCAGTTCTATAAAATCCTGCTTGGGTTTATTTTGCCCTTTCTTATTTGTCTTACAAGTGAAAGGTGGAAAAGTTGATTGTGTTCTCTCCTTCACATGCTCATGCATGCCTTCTCTGTACAATTAAAAAAAAACTGGGGGAATATGCAAGCATTTTTAGTATTTTCTGGCCTCAAAGCCAGTATAAACAAATCTTTAATCCCGAACTGGCATAACGGCAGAGAAATCTGAAGTCAGATAACATAGTAATAAACTGTCCCTTTTTCTGTGCCTTTTGCTTATTTTTGTAGAAGTCTAAAACCACTTTGCAGTCTTCCAAAAACCGCTGCAAACACAGCATGCATTTTAACTCCTTAAATTCCTCTCTCATCCAGTTGTTAGTGAAACCTTCGAGCTGACTGACATTGGTGGGCATGTTGCCTAGTCTCAGTGTGCATTTTACTGCATGACATTGCACGAGTCACTTTATACTCCCTCATAATAAGCATTTCCAGTGCAACCACATCCCAGCTTCCAGAAATGGCAGAAGACCCGTGCCAAAAACAAGCCCAGCTCAGGAGGGGTGGAGGTTTGCAACAGTAGCCAGTGGAACTGGATCTTGGCCCTAGTTACATCTTGATTAACACCAGCCCTGTAATACCTGCCCTACCTAGGACATTTCTCGCCCTTTTCAGCACATCCCTTATCTCTGTAGGTCACACAGGAAGTCTGTGACAGTAAAGACACCCTTAATCACAAGACCAACTTTCTTCCCATTGTACAAAGCTGTGCGTCAACCCACAGCTGTAGAGGCAGTGCCCTCCCCAGGGGTTTTGGGGGTGGGGTAGGAGAGGAATAGTGGGGGGTGCTCTTTAGGATGTCGTCTTAGCTGGGTATCACCCCTGTGTGAGGAGGTGTCTACTTCTGAAGCCCTTCTTGGCACTATCATGGGTGTATTTTTTGAAGAGCTGCTTTCCTCCCAGGGACTCTTTTGGGAATGTTTTTGCAATGTCCTTGCCCTTTCCACTGTCAGAAAATGTTTTCTTCCAGCATTTCTTCTATAAATACCTCTGGGATGATGTTTGGACTCCTCCCAACCTCCCAGGAGAGCTTCCATGAGACTTTTTTTCCCTCGTTAATTGCTTAGTGGCGGTTTCACCTGCTGAGATTTTCCAAAGCACTCCCTGGGTATTTCATAAGGGCTGCTAGGATCCCAAAAAAGCAAGCGGAAATTTTGACAAATGCCAGAGAATTTATAGACATCTGCTAAAGATGCCACGTGCCTGTCAGTGTTTGGAGTGTGAGCCTGTCACCTCTGGGGGGCAGTCATGCTGTTCCAGCTTGGGGGCCTGTCCCCATGCCAGAACCTCTCAGATGGCAGCACTAGGCATCACTGAGTGCCTGTCTCTCCGAGCTAATCCATGGGGCAAAGCAAGGAGCAAACCATGTCACCCACTCTGTTCCCGCTTGTTATTAAAAATGGTGCTTGTGGAGGCATGTATTCTCTTCTCAGTCACTCCCTGTGGACACTGCCCTAAACTGATTCAGCCACTGCAGTGTTCAAGAACAGAGTCTGTATGGGCACCTGCCTGACTAGATAATAGTGCCTACACTGACAAGCCGTGCTATGAAATGTGGGTACCTCGCCCTTCTCTTTCGTTTGACTTGACAATTGTCAAAAACAGGCTCTTCATCTTGGGGGTCTGCATCAATAGACGCTGGGAAATGATAGCACAACGCTCTGCAATCTCATCGCGGACATAGTGATTATGGAACCAGCATCTTTTCACTCTAAAGGGCACCCATCCTTGGACTACTTGCCAGATTCTCAGCTGGTGTAAATTGGAATGGCTACTTTGAAATCGGTGGAACTGCTCCAATTTACAACAGCAGGGCAAGATCTTGCCTTAAGGTGGAGGGGAGACATATTAGTTCTTCTAATATGCAAAGTATATCAACGTCTGAAAGTGCTAGTAAGTAAACAGACATTTGGCCAAATCCTGCCTCGATTGAAGAGTTGAAAGTTTTGTCCCAGACTTCAGTGTGAACAGGATTTCTCAGTCCAGCTCTTTTAAAATGCTGGTTTGAGCAAATGCGAGCGCTGAAGGGAATCTGTTTCAGTATTATTAATGGAACCTGTTCCTCTCCCTCCATATCCCCCCACCCTCCACTCCCCATTTGTTCCTACAGAGGCCAGAATATATGGCTGCAGTTAGATCATAGAGTTCTGGATCATGACTTGCCCAAGAAACCAGGTCCAGCAACTTTGTACTTTGCAGTTAGGTAAGTAATTGTTTTCTATATGTTTCTATATATACCACACATTACAGGTTTGGTGTCTTTATTATTTGGTGTATTTATAGCTTTTTGTTTCAAAGGATTAATAATTAATTTGATAGAGGATAATTAATTGATGATTAATTCGACAGAGGAAATAAAAGTCAAAGCCATATGTGTTATTTTTAGAAAGCAATTAACTCCTGGATAAATGCTGGTTAGCTATGAGATACTTTGGAAATTTGGTTGTTCCCTTTTTAAATCAAAACAATTTTTTATTAAATTAAACAGACATTCGAGTTTTTTTTTAAAGAATCCTATACTTAAAGAGCTTCCTTACCTGAATTGCTACTAACAACTTTGATTAGTTAAACTATACTAATTCCTAACCATTAAATTTACTTTTCCCCAGTTATGCTGGCTGCTACTATTTTCCTTTTCAGTCAGTCTGAAAAATGAAATTAGGCTGATCTTTTCCACTCTCCAGTACTAATATGACACAACTTCTTCTTGCTAGATTTTTGCTGAGTTTGTTAAAATTTTTTGTAAGGCACGCTGAGAGAACAGTGATTTGTGTAGCATAGGTAAGTAGGTACCACAAGACTGCGCTGTCTGTGTTTAGGACATAGTAGGGGATGGTTCAAACCTGGTACTCACTGAATATGCTTTCCTTCTTGTTAGATTTTGTAGCTTCCCACCTTCCCCCATTTTTTAAAAACAAAACCAAAACTAATTTGTTCCCTTTAAATGTATTTATTACAGGCCCTTTATCCCTCCTAAACATTCAGTGCCTCTGGCCAGGAATTGAGAAACTGAGTCTGTGTATTGAAGTTCAGTCACTTACATGGCAACAGGGCAGAAATACTGTCACTGACTTGCCCATCAAATTGGTCACGTGACTAATCTTCCCTATTCTTTCATGAAATGTAAAGAGCTCTATTCCATGTGGGCAGGACCCTGTGTCCTGGCAGAGATCCACTGACCTCGGCCTGCCCTGACTCGCATCAGAGGACTGGAATTGTGCATAGACAGTCGGGAGTGGCGGGGGGGGGCGCAAAGGTATCTTAAAGCCACCTTTACACACCTTGGTTGGGACGGAAGATCTAGGCCAGGACCTGTTAAGATAGAGAAGTGTTCCTTACAAGATGGGAGATTGGAAAGCACTGAAAGAGTTAATATGGAGAGAAAGAGCTGACTTGGGAGGAGAAGCTGCTGGAAGCTAATTTTAAGCCCAAGCACTTTGGGGTAGAGTTTGCATCTTAGGGGCATAAAAGCTTAAATAAACTATTTTAAAATGAGCAAGTAGGTAGTGCATGGAGAGGCCTTTAGAAAGGAAAAGAGGAGGATATAGGAATAGTTAACAATACACCAATTATTTAGCACGGCAGAAAATATATATTCTAATAGAAGTACCTTTAAGATCTGCATCTAGTTCTGACGTTTGAGCGACAGTGGGTTTTCACACCCTGGCACATGCCTTGGCTGGTTAGTGCCCGCATGCTTATCTCTCCCTAACACATGTGCCTTGTCATTGTCTATTCTTCAATTAAACCCAGATGTGAGCCGTCGAAAGGCTAGGGTCAGCGCTGTGTGCACACAGCTTCAGTGGAAAGGCAGAGGCAAGGCTAGAGCGCGGCGCTCATGCTTGGCACGACACAGGCCTGTGTGGGCCATGTGGCCTCCGAATGCTGACTCAGACCAGAACTGAGGTAGAAATGGTGCCGGTGCTTCATACTGCACATCTCCTGCCAGTTTAACGCCTCCTGGTTTGGGGTTTAAACAAGCCTTGTGCCTGCTCGGTATAAAAGGCATGGTTTTAAAACAGGAGCAAGGAAGAGCCATTTTGTAAACACAAAATAACTGATGGAAGGGGTCAAGGAGATTTGCCTGGGGGATAAAGAGCAAATGTGAACATTAGCCTTTTGCGGAATATGCCTTCTCTTCCCCCAGTGCTTTTTAATACCTTTGCCAGAAGAAATTAGCATCCTCCCTGTTCCCGGGCTTTTGTGTAGCCTCCTTTGTCGGTCAGCTTCTGCATTTACACTGCGAGCTCTTTGGGGCAAGGGCCTGTCGGGAGAGAGAGACTGAACTGGGCGTGGGGCCTGGAGGCCCAGTGTGTAAGGACTCAATAAATAGGGCCCCAGGAAGGGAATGTTTTGATTACCTGTGGACTGGGAGTTATGAAACGGCCCTGAAGAGGGGAGAAATTGGCAGCAGGGCATTGCAGGGTGACCTCTGGCTACAAGGAGGTGCTCAGGAATTAGCCACCTTGTGTTAGACCTGTGTTAGGGGACTGGACCATGTGGCCCCAAATATTCCCTCATTCTGCAAAGCCTATGCATTGATCATGAACTGTTCATACCTTGCAGCGATATAGCTAAAAAAGGCTTTACGGGACTGGGTTATCTTGCTTTACATAGATTTGAGAGATTAGTGCTTCCAGAATGATAGATGTTCATTGTCTAGGCACCGTTTCGTAAGTAATGTCCAGTCTTGGTGCTGTTTAGGGTAATAGCCCAAGTGAGTATCAGGCGAAAAGCACAAAGCAAAAGCAACTTACAGAACTTGTTGTTGTTTTTATTATTATTTAGTATTTCCAGAGAGTGACAGCAAGGTGCTTGGCTCTGTGTATGTGCATAAAGTATTATGTCCGGACGCTGGTCTCATTTACGCCAGTGTAATTCTGGAATAACTCCCATTGTATTTACTGGAATTATGACAGATGCCCAGGTAGCTGAGGTCAGTATCTGGGCTGTGATCCCTGCCCATCTTGCCATAGAAAATACTGTATGCTTAGATGGAGGGATTAGAAGATGGGGGGGGTCCCTTGGTAATCCAAGAGGCATGGGATTTAGTTTCAGGATATGGTTTTGAGGGCTGTTGTGAGATTTGCTATTGTTTTATTGGTTTTGTATTTTTAACTGATTAGAGCCTGAAACATGCATTCTTTTCTGGTAGTTTAAATCCAAGTAAATATGACACTGGAGCCAGCCCTGGCCATCTAAGAACGTGACCGTTATCGCCTCATGGCTGCCCGTGTCTGCACAGTGGCAGTGAGGCCAGAACTGAGATCCTCCCTAAAAAGCAGTATAGTCCCCTTCCACTTGAGCTGAAGGAGAATTTGTTTCCGACTCTGACATGTCAGCATCAGTACTGCTATACTGCCAGGAGAGGGCAGAGGCACGCAGTAATGGTACAAGCTCACAATGATGAGCATGTCCAGGAGAGGCCGGGGAGCAAGGCTTCAGAGAGGAAATGTGATTTCAGGAAGGCTTTGATAGTAGATGGAGAGGTTGTTTGGCACTGGAAGAGGAGGGAGGATGGTTCAAAGCAGAAGGGTCCGCATGGAAGAAAGGGCAGACGCTTCAGATAAAGCCTTTGGAATCACCATGTGTAAAGAATTCCCTTAGCAAATCAGCCAAGCGCTTCCTGGTTGTGAGCCTTTGCAAATAAGAAAACACTCGTCCTTTTGAGGACTCCACATTCCTAAGCATTCCTAAGAGCTGTCAAGAGCTCTGCCGCTTGGCCACACTGTAAACAGATGCCCTTGCACCTGCTATATTTAGTCAATCAAAAAGGGGCTTCTGACAGGCTGGTGAACAGAGGGAGCTGCCCCTTGGGGGAAGAAGATTCACTGGATCAGAAGGGCTCAGTGTTGGGTTTTTCATGTTTAGAGAGAGGTCAGATCACACGAGTGTGCCCCTACCCTCTGGTTCTGGCAGCTGAACTCCAGCCCCGTCGATAATAAAACCTTAAACTCCACATGCTGGCAACTGAACCTCAGGGCACCATGTGACAGCCCTGATCATCTCCATCGCAATCCCATGGAATGCCTACTTACAGACACTGATAAGTGTTTAGGGCCCTTTGCACCCCTCCAGCGCACAGTATGGAAGGCTGCTAACACACCTGAGTGCAAGCAAAATGCAGTCAGGGTGGCGCATGGAAGGAGAACTACCACTGTGCAAAATGCTTCCCCAGTCCTGGAGCTGACAGCACTTCCTCCACATAAGATCCCACCATACTGGTTCAGGGCCGGGGTGGCATGGCTGGCAGGTGGGGACAGAGCCAGGAAGCAGCATTCCAAGCTTGTATTATTTCCAGTGGACATTCCAGTTTGTTCTGAGCAATCTCACTGAGTCCTGTCTACGGCTTGTCCCCACAGTCCCCATGGGGGAAGACTGTGCGCACCTATGGACAGGGAGATCAGAGACAGCACACTCCTGAACTGGCCCTTGTTTCAGAGGGAAGGGAAAATCTAGAACAGTGCAGAGATTCCAGCTCTCTGTGCAAAGTATTGGAACTAGAGCTCTCATGAGTTCCTGGACACGATGTGATTCCAAGGTAATGCCTCCGCCAGCCTTCCACACTAGCACTAATCCCTCTGCCACGGTGGATTTTGCATTGGCTTTGTCGAGTTGTAACACAGAGTTTGTGTTACCCTTTTCCAATTCCAGGGTGTCTTTTCTCTGCTTAAGAGGATGTCTTGCCCCTTTGAAATCTGACAAGGCTTTCAAAAGAGATGAAAAGTCGTCAAATAGCTCCTATCTGTTTAACAGGGTGTTTGTCATTCCCTTTTCGCTATCTCTCCTACAGGTCCTTCTGCTTGTTCCCTACTAATAGGCAGGAAATTAAATGCAATAAGTCATAGTTCTTCTGAATCATCTGTACTGCAGGGGAACAAAAAAATGAGGAAATCAGAATGACTTGGGAGGGAATGGAACCTGGGTAAGAAAACAAAGTTGCTTTGTTCTTTTTTTCAGGTTTTACATTGAAAGCATCTCCTTTCTGAAGGACAGAAACACAGTAGAACTCTTTTTCCTGAATGCAAAATCTTGTGTGCACAAGGTAACGTGTGATGTCTTTTGAAACATTTACCCGATATTATGCATTTTCCAGTACTAGAGCCCATCACTAGACTGGCTGATAAATTAGGTATTAATGAAATCATATTTCTAGATTATACTGAAGGATTCAAATTTAAACACTCCTCCAACTTCAGGTACGTAGATGAATGGGACGGGGATGGTTTCAGGATGCGATTTTCACAGCCCTCTGGCTTTCAAAGGGGCTAAACCAAAATCCCAGATCCAAATATACCCAGACTTTGGAGTGTTTGAAATCTGGATCAGAATTTTGCAGCTAGCCCTCAGCTCTAATTGACATCATACATGTGCTTCCCGCATACATGTAATATTAAATGGCTAATGCAAGTGTCTACCTTAGTTCTTCATTAATCTCAACCACCGCTCTGCATCAGTGCACAAGACATATTCATTTGAATGTGGTTACTTCTTTCCCTGAAAGTACCCCATAAAGTCAAGAACAAAGAGAACATACTTTTAATATATATATATATATTTATACACAAGTGTATGTACATGGGTACACACTCTCTCTCTCTCTCTCTTTTTCTGGTTAGGAAGTTAACGTTTTGTGTATAGAAAATGCAAAAATTCACACTTTTTTAAACTACTTTTTTTTTTTCATCAGGATGTCATGCTACCATGTTTTAAATAGTATAAATTAGCTCTCCAGAGGAAGGGGAATCTCCCTTATCCTAAGTGAGGATTGTATGGGCACATCAAATAAAACCACAGGTGCCAGTCTGCCAAACTTTTGCTGTAACAGGAACCATGTTTCAATAAACGCCAATGCAGCAGTGTCTAATGTTTCTGTGATTTTTCTGGTACTGTCAAGTCAAGCAGCTGGCACTTCCATTGTTGTTTTTCATGCAACCTGCCTAGTTGTGAAGCGCGGGAAGTGTGGAACTCGATTCTGACAGGTATTAGAGAGAAACGGAATAATCTGCTCATTCATTAACTGGTATAGTGATTCCATATATTAGTTCAAATTCATCCCTGTGCAACTCCATTGTTTGCTAACATTCACACACATCACATTTTAAAGGGTCGTAGATCAAAAACTGGTATTTCTGGCTGGGTGGAAACCTTACACAGAATATTTAATGGCAAGAATGTGGATCTCACTTGTATAGGAATTTTTCTGGGAGAGTGAGAAAAATGGAACCCCACTTCCCACCCCTCACCCCCCCTCCCCCCAAAAATGTTTTTTTTAAAAAAGTAAACATTTGTTAAGATTCCTGGACCTCATTGGCCGAGCTTAATAGCCAACAAGTCTCAAGTTCAGTCTATTCGTCCTCTCAAGTAAGTGTCTTGGAAGTTGGTAGAAATTGTTTCAGGGAACACTGAAACACAGGCACAAAAGCACAAAAAATATAGAATTGGAAAATGTAACTGATTTAGTCATGGGATGTGAAGAATATTACCACTGTCCAGAACTAACTTGCTATTAAAATAAATGCTAGTCACATCAAAACATTGGGTTACCTGGTGTGTGTGTGTGTGTGTTTGTGTATGCAGTATAAAAGGCAAGGGGAAAAAACACTCCATATATAAACATATATGTTATCTAGCCAGCCAGGAAGACTCGCATCTGGCCCTGATAAATATTATTATTCACACAGCATAGTTATATAGTATTGAAATGAACTGATGATCATGCGCAAACTGCTGGAATAAACATTGTGTATCATGCAGTAATTTATTTCAGTACTTTGAGTTTCACTGTTTGAATGAGAGTCCTTTTTATTTCGTTAGGCCTGTGCTTTAATTGGTATTAGTGTACAAAGTGCCAGCTGCCTGATTTTGCACTGCACAACTGCCAGAAGATGAGAGAAATAGTTTTCCCTAGTGTACAGTTTCTATAGGAAGCATAAGGAGAGGGAGCTTGGCTTAAAATTCAGAAAGGAGGTTGGCTGTAAAGAAAAGTTTCAGATCAGCCTTGAGATACTAACAAAGTACAGGTTTCAGAGTAGCAGCTGTGTTAGTCTGTATTCGCAAAAAGAAAAGGAGTACTTGTGGCACCTTAGAGACTAACCAATTTATTTGATATTTATTTGAAATAAATTTGTTAACAAAGTACAGTAAAACCAGGCAGCCCTTCTCTTTGTATAACTTCTCATTCCAAGCTGGTGAAACGAAAATGAACCCTGAGCAAAGAAATTTCTCTGTTTATAGATCATTAAAAATCAAAGCAGACTTGTTGTCTCTTAGTCATGCTGGTTAAAACTGAGGCTGCACGGGCATGACAGCAGCAGTGCAGGGGAAGAGTTTTAACATTGCTAATAACATTGAGTGTACAGTCTGGCAAAGACTCAGAAGGAACAGAACCTATGTGAATGGGGGTTTGAAGACAATACTGTAGCACTGTGACCTAAGTCTTCCTTGGCTTCACGTTGGGGTACCATCCCAAAAGATCCTTACACTGCAGGATCCCGTGCCAAGAGAATAAGATTGGGGTCAAGCTTTTCTGAACTCGGCAGTGCAAGCCTGAATATCTGTGGGTTTAGCTATCTCTGCTTGTTGTGTTGGGAATATGTAACCATGTGCTACAATACCATCCCCCTAATTCACCTCAATAAATCCCTTCTTTTTGATTGCAAGCTCTTTGGGGCAGGGACTGTCACTGTTAGTACAGCATTAAGCACAGTAGGGCTCCACCTGGCTGCTGCATTATAAATGTTAACATCTTGGGCTTGATTATTAGTATTTATGCGTACACATCTCTGTTCATGGCAGTAATGCGATTCACAACCATTCTTGATGGTATATTGAATATTCCTAATGAGTTAGATAAAGCCACAAATATGTGGGATTTGCATGTGCAAAAGGGCTGATTGTACTTATAAAAATGAGCAATTGGTTGTGTGTGGTTGGAAAATCTGAAGGGTGTCTGGAAATTTGAGTCAAATTAATCTTTGGCATAGCTCCATTAAGTCAGTGGATTTACCCTAGGGATAAATTTGTCCCATTGCCTTTTAACACTAAAATGAGTTACTTTCTGGTTATTTAATGCCATTTGGGGAACAGCTGATCACAGTTATGTGAGATTTCAGTTCATTAGAGAAAATCAAAAATGCAGTTTACATTTGTGTTGAATTAACACTCTCATTTAAGAACTGGAATGCAGATGAGATGATGGGCACCTCAAATGTATTCAAAAGCCACACTAACTCAATAAACATCGTAGTCACTTTCGTTTGTGCTTCAGGGCAAGGAGACGCAGTCAGAGTAAAGGGCAGTATCAGTTACAAAATATAACCAGATTCCCAACTTTAGTGAAGCAACCTACGGCTAGTCACTAATAATGACAGATCAGATGTTCTCTGGTATTTCTCAGTAGTTTCCCAGGTAGGGAAGCTTAGACTTGTGTGGATTTCTTTTTTGTTCTTGTTTTTGTTTCTGTTTTTTGCTCCACTCATATTGAATGCCATAAGGAACCCCAATGTCTTTAAAAGCAACAACCTATAATTGAAGCACATGATGCAGGGATCTCCGTAATGAACCTGTGCTCTCTGTTTACCTGAATGATGAGATATAAAAGGCCGTATCCTACCCTAGATCTTTACATGAAGCTCCCATTGTGGGACAGGAATGCAGTTCAAAACGTGGGTGATCAGATAGGAGGGTGTGAGGGAAGTATGGAAACCTGGATGGGTTGATAAAGACTGCTTAAAATAGCGTCTTAATTATTTTCACAGAACTGTTCTCAATGTTCTTTCACATTTCACTGTGTAAAAAAACAAAGAGAAACTTTAAAAAAAGCCCCAGTCGAGGAAAGCACTTGCGCCTGTATTTAGCTTAAAGTGTGTGCTTAACTTCCGGTGACTTTAATGGGATTTAGGCAAATGCTTAACTCTAAGCATACGTTCTTTCCTGGATACTGATGCTTTCCTGACTGAGAGCCTAGCTGGATGGGTATGTGCAGTTGTGGAGTGAGCCATGTGTTGGTGCTTTCATTTCAGTGGTACTCTATCAATATGGGGTGAAATTCACCCTTGTGCCAAGGACCAGTGCAAGGCTTAAGCGACAGCTAAGTCCTACTTCGAGGGACCAAGTCCTACTTAAATGTGATTTAGGCCTTGTGCCTGTCCGCTGCCTCGGAGGAATTTCCCCCCTAGCTTGTAAAGTACTGTAGAATCCTTCAGGCAGAAAGTGTGACCTAATTACGTAATTATTAAAAAATATGTATTGGCATCACTGTTTACATGGGAGAAGCGCTCCATAGAATGTAGTCTTCGTTTGTCTATGGGGCAGTTTCTCTGAAGCTTGTCTCTAGGTTAGGTCCTATGCTCCGGTTTAGTTTCCACGCTTTTCCTCCTCCAATACAAAGGGAATCCCTAATCTAGGGGAAGGGAGATCAATGCCTTAAATATCTCGGGGCCAGATTCTGATACTTATTCCCGTTCAGGAGCACTTTGCTCCACAAGGGGTCATTTGGATTTCAGTTGGCCGGCTCACAGCATAAAGTAGTACTCAATGTGAGTAAAAGTGGCAGAATCTAACTAGCCTACCAGGCCAGCATCTCCAGGTGCCTGCTGCGCTTTAAGGGAGCCCAGGGTCAGTGTGCACGGTGACCCTGCTGTCCCAGGGAAGTCTGGACAGTCCTTTTGCTGTAGGCTGAACATACTGGTGAACAACCGGCTCATATGGAGCAAAAAATGACCCTGCTCTATATAACTTCTCTCCCTTTTCCTCTCTCCTTGAGCTCTTCCTCCCTTTGGAGCACCAAGCCAGTGACCCCTTTCCATAGAGGAAGCTGGGCAGTCAGACATATGATCCCCATAGTAAGTGTATGATTCACTAGGGGCTCGTGCTCTTTGTATCTTCTGTCAGCCAAGTGCATTGCATGTACCAGGGGCTCCTTGCATCCCTCCATTTCCCCTGCCCCACCAGGTCTCCGTGTGCCACCCTCCCGTCCTCTCCTATTTCAAGGACTCCTTGTAACTCCTCCCACCTCCTCCCTTGTGCTCCCCTATGGTCTCC